GCCAGGGACAAGCAAGTATCTAGAGCAGGTGCAACAGCATCCGGAGCTACCTGTTTTCCCTGCCTTACGAAGAAGAAAGCAACCTCCCTAAACTGCAAACAAATTTCAGGCCACAAATCCTGAAAGTTAAACTCCCAAGTGACTAAGAAATCTTTAACCCACTTCTCCCCAGCACAAATATTAAGAATGCTTTATAATCCTAAACGTTTTACTGGACAAATGCCATCACTTCTTCCAAATGTTTGTTATCGGTATTCTTTCCTTACAGCCTTTTGGAAGAGGGTTAACTTGAACCACAGTGTTCCATTGTCCTGTCCCCTGCTAAGTGCCACTGGGTCTCACCTTCCTTACCTGCATGGCTTGAGGCTTTTCCTGAACAGCTAACCTCAGAGGAATCCATGGAGGGGTGAATCGGTTGTACTTATGTTAGAATTGTCAACATATCAGAAACAACTTCATGCAAATATAAAACGAACATGTACCAATGGTTTTATTAAATTCATTAATTAATGAATAGATATGAAAACTAGTTCCGAGGAGATTTCAAAGAACTGAGGTTTATGTCAGTCAAGTCGAAGGAATGCTGGAAAGAATTTACTAATATCTGTGACACTGGTTACTATCCTGCTGGGCGAGAAAGTATCTGAGGCCATCTTTTCTACTAGAGGGCAATCAACTGCACTGTCCCAGACAAAAGCCATTTGCATTACAATGGCCAAGACTCATTTACAAAACTTTCCGGCAAGAATCATTTATGTTATTATTGGCTCTCTGCCAGTTAACCTCTACTTCTTACAGTTATACAATACCTGGGGAGATAAAAGTTGAATCAAAGGTGCATAACCAGCACTCCACTGAAAGAATAACAAGTGATGTCTTCATTTTTCTTGCCAATGTAGGAAATAGAATGTGTACATTAACCGGGGCCTCTGGCTGTGAGCATTTCCCTCCTCCTTTGTTCATACAAGTGCCAAAGCTTGTTTATATAAATTCTGAGCTAAGCCCATAGGTGGCTTTTTCCCCTGTACCATTGTCTTTGTCTCAGGGATGTTTATGCCAGCTGTGGGACCATGTGAAGTCCCACTGGGCAAGGCTGGCATCCCAGAGGGCTCAGTGTGCATCCCAGATGCAGAAGAGTGTCTGCACCTGGCCTTTGTAGAGACACATTAGGGTCGGCCTGGAGCAAACCTGTTCTATAAAGGACTAGATAGTAAATATTTCAGACTTCACAGGACCGGAAGCTCTCTGCAGAAACTACTCAGTCACTGTAGGACAAAAGCAGTTACAGACAACACAAAATAAATCATGTGGCTGTGTTTCGATAAAACTTTCAAAATAGGCAGTGGGCTGGATTTGGTACATGGGCCATAGTTTGTCAATCCCTCGTGTGTTAGACTCCTCAGACTGCCGTAACGAAATACCATCAACTAGGTGGCTTAGACAACAGATATTTATTTTCTCACAGTCTCGGAAGCTGGAAGTCCATGATCAAGGTGCCAGCAAATTTGGTTTCTGGTGAGAGCTCTTTTCCTGGCATTACAGATGGCCACCTTCTCACTGTGTCCTTACATGGCCTTTTGTGTGTACAGGTGTGGAGATAAAGAGAGAGGGAGATCTCTAGTATCTCTTCCTATTCTTAAAAGGCCACCAGCCCTATCAAATTTAGGCCCCCCTTTATGACTTCATTTAACCTTTATTGCCTCCTTTGCACCCTGTCTCCAAACACAGTCATATTGGGGGCTAGGGCTTCAATGTCCTACCAATGTCCTTCAATTCAGTCCATAACCCTGGTATAGAGTATACAAGAACCTTCATTCATTCATTCATTCATTCATTCAACAAATATTTGCTGTGTTCACAACTGAGCCATCTCTAGACAGATCCAATCCCTGCCCTCGTCAAACTCTGGTGTGGCAGAGGAGGCACAGTTTAAACAAGGAATTGTAATAAAGTGCAGGAGTTATCAGTCCAAAACAAACAAAGTCCAATGAGAAGATGACATTTAAGGTGAAACGTAAATGTTTATGAAGATGCTGAGTTTGAGGTGTTGGTGATATATCCAAGTAGAGATGTCATTTGGGAAGGTAGATATACTGGGTTGAGAACTCAGAAAGCAGGTCTGGGCTACAGACATTTGGCAGTTATTGAAGCCATGGCAGTGGTTAAGAGCTCCTAGGAGAGCAGGGGTGGGGCCAAAAATTTGTATTTCTACCAAGTTCCCAAAGAAGAAGATGCATCTGGAATATGGTTTGATTTTAGAAAAAGATCTTTCAATTATAAACTGAATGTAACCAGGAAAGATAGCTCTTTGTACCTTCCAGAGGAACTAGAACATCTAAGAAAATCCAAGATCTGACACTTTGGTAATGGAGTCAAGAAATAAACCTAGACCAAAAAAATCACCACCACCACCATCATTATCATCATCATCATGGTGGATCCAACGTCCATTTCTCTAACATTAGTCATCTTGGGCCACCTAATGGAGGACAACAAATACCTTCCATATTGCTGGGTATTTCTTGACTTTCATGTAAGTAACTTAATTTTTTGTTAAGGTTTATTTCTGAGAGACAGAGAGAGATAGAGCATGAGTGGGGGAGGAGCAGAGAGAGAGGGAGACATAGAGTCTAAAGCAGGCTCCAGGCTCTGAGCTGTCAGCACAGAGCCCAACACAGGGCTCGAACTCACGGACCACAAGATCATGACCTGAGCCTAATTTGGACGCTCAGCCAACTGAGCCACCCAGGCGCCCTTCTTGTAAGTAATTTTTAAAGAAGCAACCTCAATAGGCACTGATCAACGAAATACATGTTGTTATAGCACAAAAGATCTACAGGTAGATGTCCTCCATCCATTGATCAGGGCTTAGTCCTTGAGTTAATTTCTTTTTTTTTTTATTGTTTATTTTTGAGAGAGAGAGAGAGAGCACAGGGGGAGGAGGAGAGAGAGGGAGACAGAGGATCCAAAGCAGGCCCTGAGCTGACAGCAGAGAGCCCAATGTGGGGTTCGAACTCACGAACTGTGAGATCATGACCTGAGCTGAAGTTGGATGCTTAGCCAACTAAGCCACCCAAGGGCCGCAGCCCTTGAGTTAATTTCATCACTACGAAGGTGACTGTGGCTTTTGTCATTGTTGCTTCAGCCCAGAAAACTATTTGGTTCCAACTGACCTTAGAAGAGACAGATCTCAAAATTTAGTGGAAAGGTTACCAGCAAGGACTTTGGAGTCAGCCAGCCCTGGATTTGATTTCTAGAATTGTCATTTACTTTCAGTGACCTAGGGCACATTCTTTTCTATGTTTGTTTCCTTATATTAAAATACGAATAAGTCTAGGGTTTTTCTGAGAATTAAATTAAAACAAAAAAACATGGAAAGAGCAGAATTCTTGGCCTGTGGTAAGTATTCAATAAATAGTAACTATTTTTTGTCACTATTTTTGTTTTAATTGTTGTTTGGAGTAGAAATGAAAAGTTGAAGAATGTTTAATCAGCTCACAAAGTTGTCAGAGGGTTTTAATAACTTGCTATAAGGTGATAAAACAGAAATTCTGCTAACCTTACAGAAGAGGCTTAAGAGTCATGTAGGAAGTTGAATGACCTTAATATTGTTGTATAATGAAAACTCATCACAGGAAAGGAACACACTTATAAATCCCTTCACACCGCAGCCCCGGTGAACAATGAACAAAATGGGAAAATGCAAAGGCAGCTAGCAAAGAATGCTAAAGAGAGGTAGAGAACCATGCAACAAGGAAAGAAAAGAATCACTCCCAAATTTACAAATAATGGGCAACAGGTCATTTTGCAGAGAGCCTTGGAGCAAAACACTCTTCATCACAGTTGAAAAACAGTGTGATTTCATTTTGAGCCTCAAACTGAGTCTCAAGTGCTCCTGCCAACGAGTGACAGAGTCTCCAGTATCAGGAAGCAGCTACACAGGGCAGAACAGGGCAGAACAGTATCTGCATAGGACCCACGAAGAGAATTCGCTAAACCGGGACACAACCAAAGGGAAATCCTGGTGGGACCAGAGAAATGACCATTTCACAGCCCTGCTCAGGTGAGTTTTCACTCGAGACGAGGAATCAAAAATTCATCTTTGGGGGTGCTTGGTGTGGGGGCGCCTGGGTGGCTCGGTTGGTTAAGCATCCAACTCTTAATTTTGGCCAAGGTCATGATCTCGTGGTCATGAGATCAAGCCCCAATTTGGGCTCCATGCTGAGAGGGGAGACTGCTTGGGATTCTCTCTCTCCCTCTCTCTCTGCCCCTCCCCAGAGACACCATCAAACAGTGCAGTCAAGGCTGTAGAACCAGTTCAGTGTGATTCCCCAGGGACAGCTTTTACGAGTGGCTCTCCCCATTTAGACTGTTTCTTCTTGTAAGAAAAGACTTTCACAGTGAAGAAGAAAATGCCCTCATTGAAGTCATCTTTGCCTTCTGAGTTGGGTAAGGTTGTTGAGGACGGGGGAGGAGGATCGAGAGCAGTCCTGCTGACAAATTTAACCCCACCCATTATAAAAAAAAGAACTGCAGAGTTTCTCTTGCTGCAACACAATGCTCGAAGATGCTGGAAGGTGCCAAATAGAGAGATGTCCTTTGTGGTGAAGGGACACATCAGTGAATTTGGGGCTACAGAAAGATGGTCTCCAAGCTTAAGTTTGGTGGAACCAAAAAGAGATGGCTTGGAGGCAAACACTTAGTTTCTACAGAAGAAGCTGATAGAGAGGAAAATGAAGGAATATGGCATTGACCCTGCAAGCTGGAGCCCTGGGCAGAGAGACAAATAGGAAGATGCTCCCAGGGTTGGGACCTGACAGACCTCGCCCTCCACTGCCTTAAACCCTCAGTAAAAGTTTGGTATGAGCAGCATCATGGAAGGTTTTCAGCAAGGCAGTTAGGGAGACATACAGAATGCCTAGGGAAGAAAAAGAGCAGAGACAAAGAACTAAAAGACAACAGGAAAAGTATAAACCTTCTGGGAATATCGAGAGGCTTACCTTTAATGGAATAATGGCTCAAGCTAATGATAATTCATTTATTCTTTCACTCAAGCATTATTTACTGAGCACGGCTCTTGTGCCAAGTATCACGCAGCCAGCTTGAACCGGTTCATGAGAGCCCATCCTGGTCCTGTCTTTCCAGCTCTTCATTCACTGACGTCATGTCGGTAGCTTGAAAGTGGCCATGTGAGGAAAGTTTACACACAGGAATCAGCAAATGCTACAAATCAGGGTTTTGTTGTTTTGGGGTGTTTGGAATTTTTTTCTGGAGAGTTGGTCTGCCTGTATACCACTGGCCAGCCACTATGTTTTGGAATACAGCAGCAAACTAAACAGTCAAGGTCATAACCCTTGCAGAGCACATGTTCTAGGAGGAGGAGATCAAAGCATTAATTGATTGGTTGATCGACTAGTCGATCGATTAACAAGCTATTTTCAGCAGGTGAGCAAGGCTCTGAGGAAAATAAGACAGGGTGATTTGATAGGCTGTGGGGGTTGGGAAGGCTTCCTTAAGGAGGCAATACAATACTCTCTTATGGTTTGCCTCCCTCCCTCTCGAGACTCTTAAAAACTGAGAATAAACTGAGGGTTGATGGAGGGGGGTGGGAGGGAGGGGAAAGTGGGTGATGGGCATTGAGGAGCGCACCTGTTGGGATGAGCACTGTGTGTTGTATAGAAACCAATTTGACAATAAATTTCATTTTTTAAAAAAAGGAGGCAATACATGAGCCGTGACATAAATTTGCATGTGCAAAATCATCCCAACAGAGCGGAGTCATCTGTAGAGGGAGGTACTCTGATCTGCACTTTTTGTTTCTTTTTGACATGTTGTTATAGTGTTTACAATGGGGCTGTCATTTGTAACATTCTATTACGTTGCCTATAAAGTTACCACAAATAATTCGATAATCATGTCCTTGGCTAAGTCACACCTCCTACTTGCGCGGTGAAGCCCATTCCTTCTTACATACTCAATCCAGCAATTCCACCCTCCACCTATAGCATCATCAGGTCTTTTACTTGAGGGGTCTCTTCCAGCAGCATCAAAACATAACTGTTTCTCCCCTTCTAAAAATGCCTCTTTTCTGTCCCATCACCCCTCCAACTGCTGCTCCATTTCTCGTCATGCCTTTACAGCAAAATGCTCCAAAGAAAGGTTTCTATTCACTCTCTCTAAGTCCTGTCCTCCCTTCTCTCTTGAGCCAGTGCAGGAAGGCTCCCACCTCACCACTCACCAGCACTGCACTTTTCAAGGTCAGGAGCAAACTGTGTTGCTGATTTTTTTTTTTTTTGAAAGAGACAGAGAGTGAGTGAGAGAGAGGGCATGAGTTGGGGAGGGGCAGAGAGAGAGACTGAGAATCTCAAGCAGACTCCATGCTGTCAGCACAGAGTTCCATGCAGCACTCGATCCCATAACCCTGGGATCATGACCTGAGCCAAAATCAAGAGTCAGACATTCAACCTACTGAGCCACGCAGGCACCCCATGTTGCTGAAATTTTACTCTAACTCAAACTCCTGGCACCGTTGAACAAAATCAGTCCCTGGCCATAGCCTACATGAGTTTTGTGCCTGGCTTCTAGGAATTGACCCTTTCCTGGATTTCCTCCTACCTCACCAGGTGCTTTTCCCCAGTCTCTTGCTGGTTCCTCCCCATGAATGAGAACATGCCCCAGGGTTCAATCCTTGGACTTCATCCTTTTCCTAATTATGCTCATTTCTCCAAGATCTTACCTGGCCTCACAGCTTCAGGTACCATCTCAGAGCTGAGGATTCTCAAAGCCTATCACCTAGCAGGCTCTCCCAGCTGAGCCTTTTTGAATGTGTGCTGCCTACTTAACATCTCTGCCTGGAGCTAGAACGGTCCTGTAAGGTGGGAGTCTTTACCACCCCTTTGTTTAAAACCCTCCAAGGGCTCCTACCTTGCTCAGAGTAAAAGTCGAAGTCATAGAAATGGTCTATAGGAACCCCTCCCTGGACTTCTGTGACCTGCACTGGATTGATTCTAAGATCCGCTTACAGTGCAAGAGGTTTTGGGGGGAGTAGGAGACCCATGGCCCCGGTGCTAGTTCAGGTTCCCCCAGAAGCAGGTGAAAGAAACCAGCTATGTCACCCCAATAGACCTCTTTAACATAAAATTTATTTTAAGCTGAAGGCAATTAAGAAGTTGCAACCAAAAAAAGCTTTTCCCACCCTCCCCTTTTTGGCCTAAAGGCCAGGTATGAATTCTGCTTATACTGGAGGTAGACTTATCCTCACTAGAGGAATCTGCAAACAAACCTTTCCCCATCCGTGACCTCCATATATTTCCCTTCCCACAGAAAGTCCCCTTGGGAGCCTAAAACTGCTTTCCTTTGTCTAGTTATTTCTCTGCAGATTTTTGTTCTTTGTTGAAGATGCTAATAAAGCAGGTTCTAGACACAGCTTTGGGTTATTTTGTATAGAGGTTTTCCCCACATGGTGTGTGCTACACAAGTTAATCAACTGTCTTCCTCTTGTCAATCTCTTTGTTAAAGAGCCCCAACCAAACAACCTAACATAGGGAGAGGTGAGGGTTTGACTCCCCCACACAGGACAAGGGCAAGGACCTGGGGACAGGTGATTTACTTACGACACGGACTAAGACACAAATGTGATGGAGAGAGTGAGATGGAGGAGGGAGAGACTCCAGCAAGTGGCCTGGTCCTGAGCGAGAGGACATCTGGGGCTCCTTCCTGCAGGGAACTCTGAGAAATTGTCACCCATGATTCAGCACTGGCCCCGGAGAGCTGGTGGGGGTGTTCCTGGGGACAGTAACTGCTGGGAACTCCCAAGTCCTCTGCCTACAGACCAGCCAGAGTGCAGAGACATCTGTCCAGCAGAGAAGGGAGAGGCCAGGCATGTGGGGAAGAAGCTGTAAGAAGCTGGAAACTTCCACAGCCTCTGGTGGGGAAAGCAAGGTTGCATTGCAGGTCTGCTCTGAGCCCTCACCCGCCTCTGATGGCTGGAGGCTACTGATATTGCCAAAACATCTGAAAACTTGACTTAAAGAATATTCATAGCAATTTCCTTTAGAATTGGAATATTCCTCTTGCCTCATGGTTTTCTGTCCTTATGCTTCTGTCTCCTACATCGTTGACTCTGTGTCCACCACTTTCTTCCCTTCATTCTCCTTCTCGGCTGTCTCATTACTGTATCCTACCTGACCCTTGCTTCCCTGAATGGAAGACCCTGGGACCTCTTCCTCTGCCTCCTCCAAGTCTTCCTTCAAGCCAGATCTCCACGCAGCTCCTCATGGGAGTTTCCTCCTGCAGCTTTCTTAGAGTGTACACCATTTCCTGCACTTTGTCTCAGTTAATTTTTTATTTGAAATCCTGTTGTGATGTCTTGATAGTAAGTTGAGACATACCATAACCCTGTACCAATGGTACCTTGGAGTCCTCATATAATTGTCATAGGTTTGCTCAGTTATGCCCCCATGATGGGTGCTTCCCCTGCTGTATTCTCTGCTGTATCCCCACTGCCTGATAAATAGTGCCTGGGTAACGGTGATAACTACCATCCTCGATGCCTCCAAGTGGGAAAAACTGGACATTGAAAGCAATTTTCTGTCTCCCAAGAAATGAGATCTGAACATACTTTTGAACCAGGCTGATCCTTTAGTCTGGGAAAACCAATCTCTATGGTCCTTGCAGTAATTTTGGCTCCCATGACCTTCTCCCTCCGGTGTTGTGTCTATGGTTATGTTATTTTACAGAGTAAAAGAGAGACTTTGAAGATGTAATTAAGGCTACTAATTAGCTGCCCTTAAAATAGGGAGGTTATCTTGCATTATCCAGGAGGACCCAACACGATCACGCAAGCCCTTAAAGTCAGAAGAGGAAGGCAGAGAAAAGCAGGAAAACCTGCTACACCATTGTTGGCTTTGAAGATGGAGGGATGAGGTACAAGTCCAGAAATGGCAGGTGGGCTCTGGAAGCTGAGAAGCACCTCCAGCTGACAGCCAATGGGAACATGAGACCCTCAGTCCTGCAACCACAAGGATCTGCGTTCTGCCTACACACTGAATGAGCTTAGAGCAGATTCTTTACAGAGCCTCCCAATAAGAATGCAGCTAGGTGAGGGGGCACCTGTGTGGCTCAGTCCATTGAGCATCCAACTCTTGATTTTGGCTCAGGACATAATCCCAGGGTCATGGGATCGAGCCCAGTGTCAAACTCCATGCTGAGCGTGGAGCCTGCTTAAGATTCTCTCTCTTGGGAGGAGAGGGTGGGTGATGGGTATTGAGGAGGGCACCTTTTGGGATGAGCACTGGGTGTTGTATGGAAACCAATTTGACAATAAATTTCATATATTAAAAAAAAATTAAAAAAAAGATTCTCTCTCTCTCTCTCTCTCTGCTGCTTTCCCCACTTGCACTCTCTCTCTCTCTTTCTCTAAAATAAAAATTTCTTAAAGAATGCAGCCAGTTGACACCTTAATTTTGGTCTTGTTTAAACTGAGCCCAGCTAGGACTTCTGACCAAAAGATTATACAGTAACTCGGGGTTGGTAAAAACTGCTGAATGTGTGGTAATTTGTTACAGCAGCAATGGGAGACTAACACAGTGCCTCTAATTAGACAGTTATAAGGAGAAGATATTTGTGAAACTGTGGCTGTGTGGATGTGATGGTGAAAAATGTCGCTGAAAGTGTGGCAGGAGCCTTGCCTCGGTGACATGGTGCTTCTAGAGAGGCTTTTTTTTTTTTTTTTTTTTTTTTTTTTTTTTGCTGACTATAGACTGGATACACCCTGCGCCAAGCACTATTTGGTCAATAGGAAAATCGTCTCCTACTCACTCTTAAAGGTTTTACCAAGATACCTTTCTGCTTCACGGCTCCCCTTGGTGAAGGGAGAGCTCTTCCTTAAAATACGATATTGAGGCCACGGAGGGAAGAGAATAGAATTTAAACTTTCCATCAGTTCTTCGTGCTGCCAAGGCCAGGGACCTGATATATTGGGGTTCTCCAGAGAAACAGATCCAATAGAATCAAGAAAGACAGACAGAGAGAGAGGGAGAGAGTTTAAGGCATTCCTATGCAACTATGGAGGCTGGCAAGTCCAAACTCTGCAAGGTGCATTGGCAGTCTGAAGACCCAGAGAAGAACCATGTTGCCATTCAAGTTCAAAGCCTGTCTGTCGGAAGAAGGCCTTTCTTGCTTCGGGTTAAGTCAGTCTCAAGTTCTATTCAGCCCTTCACGTGATTGGATGAGGCCCACCTATGTTGCAGAGGGCAGTCTCCTTTCCTCAAAGTCTACCAACTTAACTGTTAATTTCAT